TCTATTGCATTGTCCTGATCTGAAGAGCTCATTCTTTCTTCTCTATCAAGGTCTTCTATCACAATGACTTTCACTTCAATTCTGGATCTTAATTGGTTAGAACTGGCCATTAGGCTTTTTCCAAGACTTGCTACTTTGTCTTTCTTATACCACAAGTTCAAAATTCCCTGAAGGTTACCCTGATCAACAGACACCTGAAGAAGGTCAAAATTGTGATAATAATGAAGATGAGGATATTAGTCTGAATGTAAATAATAACTCCTCATCTTGGAAATTCAGACAGAAATGAAGGTACAGTGGAGTGATGGATAGTAGCTTGGATTGAGGAATCAGAGAGACAAATTTGAATTCCAGTCAAGTTAAATTCCTTTATTTACATTACATTCACTTATATGCAAATATTCTTGGTAAAGGTATGAATCCATCTTGTCTTCCTCAGCTATGGGTAAATAGCAGGATAGACTGGGTCCTATAGCCTTGGATGGCAACTGGCCTAGAAGATCAACTCTGAATTCAAAACCTCCAAGTTAAATTGCCTCAGCAAGTGCCCAAGTGTTGTGAGTACAGTTACATGCCCTGAAGACATGATCAATCAGGATGGGATCCTCCAACAGGAGTGAGAAGACCCAAGATTTGGATTTGGAAGATGGAATACTAGCCCAAAAAGGATCAGCTTTAGTCTGCTTTGTAGCTGAGTATATTTTATATTGGCACCAAATTCCAGTTTTTGAGTTAAGGTGAAATACTGATTTTCAAGTACTTCTCACAAGAAAGAGTGGTACAACATAATCTTCTTAATGCCTATATGCCCTCATTTAACCTTGTAAAAGATTAAGCTAAATAAAGGTTAAGTTCATTTGAAATTGACAAAAATAAATACTTGATGGCTTGCTTTCACTCATACAAATGTTTAACATTATAATTGCATTGTGAAAGCAACTTGATTTAGGTTTTTGGACATGTATTTTAATTGCTGAATAGTATTATAGTGTCTTTGGTGTTAAAATGAACAGTTCAGTTAGTCACGCCAAGAAGATTAATGGAGGGTGGTAATGATGAGGAAACACATGGGTAATTTTAACAAAACAAGATATGGAATTTATTTACAAATTTACATGCTTGAAGTTGTGTCAATAGTTCATTTCAGGAAGATAAATCAGAAATTTTTAAAGTTCATAGTTTTAACGAATTTTCCTAAAGAGGAAATGTTCATACAACAGATTAAATGATCTGGTACAAAATAATATTAAAAAATTTTCTAAACAATGGTAAGAGAGTTGCTCACAGAAAGGATATATGGTTGTATACATTCAAAAGTAGACAAAGAGAGATAGTTTGAAATACTTAGCTTTCTTAGATTGTTGAAAGGAAATTCTTTGAAATGCCATGTGCTTGGTTAAAAGCTGGTAATATAATTGGCAAATAATTTTACACTGGTAAGAACTTGAATGCTTGTTGCAGTGAACAGAAACAAAACCTTTCACATGACTTCAGACACCATTCTCTTATTAGTTTAATTTTTCTCCTCATTTTATATCAAAAAGAATTTTGCATCAACACATTACTTTTTTCTTGGCTCAATAACTAATTTTTGAGAAGACATAGTTTTCATTGGTCCAAAACAATTTCACATATACTTGCAAATTTATTTCTTCCTTCTTTTCAGCTCACTGATCAATTTCTGTAAGGGAAGTTTTTCATTGGTCCAAAGAAAACTTCGCATAAACTCTTCCACTTTTTTCCTCAGGCCTCTGAATTTGAAGAGATTGGGTAAAGGAAGTTATTATTTTGCACTAACTACAGTATCTTGTAGTCAGCAGAAAAAAAATGTTTAAGTTTAAAAAAAAGTATCTCTCTCTCTCTCTCTCTCTCATCATTGACATAGATTATTCAGTTTCTCTTTGAATTTCTGGGATGAAGAGTTATCATTTTTTACACTATTTACATTCTATTTCTTCATTTTTGTTGTTGTTATCACAGTGTTTGAGCCATTGTGCCCTCTAGGCTTCATCTGGTGTTTATCAATCTGGGTAACCTCTAGAGAATTCAGAACTGAAACCTTTATTTAATCTATGAGAGTAGACTATTCTTGTTCCACTACCTATGTCTACGGATATCTTGTTTTGTTTTTATTTTTAATACTGCTCAATTATTGCTCACCCATTTACATTGAGTTCAAGTACGCACTGCCCAGCCCAGGGATTGAACTCAGAATTACTGCGTCAACAAATTTGTGAACCATTGCTTTAATTCACTCACCTATTGTCTAATAGGGCACAATGGCTTAAATATTATTATAACAACAATAAAGATGAGGTTTATAATTATCCGAATGCAAATAGTGGAAATAAAGATTTGTTGGTATTTTACCATTACCGTATATTCTTGTATAATGTGTGATGTTTATTTTAAATACAGCTGTACTTTTTGACTACAGTAAATGGACTATTGTCCTCATCTTTGTCGCCATATTTATTACAACATTTTGGCTGTTCTATGCTCTGGCCTTCTTCAAAAATCTCCTGAGCTGACCTAGCATAAAAATGAATACAATATGGGAACCAGTATAAGGAGTGCCAGAGAAAAGCGATAATAACAACAAAAATTGCAATATGAGCACTGGTAAAAAATGGGTGCTGAAGACATTAGGTTTATAATACCCAAAAATTCATACACAGATGTGCTCAAGGACACATGGACACAGTGGATAAAGGTGTTAGTTAGATCCAGTGACAGGAACCAAAGAGTGTGAGTTCAATACCTGGGTAAGGCAGTGGAGAACTTGAAGAGGGGAATTAACATCCATTAAACATGGCATGTGGAACTAGAATAGTCTACCCCAGTGAGTGAAATAAAGGTTTCAGTTTGACATTCCAACCACCTGAAGAAGGCTGTAGCATACAAAACATAATAAATATGGCAACAAGTCCAAATAATGTAAATAGTGTACATAATACCTAATCTCAGAAATATAGACAGCATAGCCAAGGCCAGCAGTATATATGCTAATTTTATATCTCTTTTATGATATTATTCCCCTAAAATTAGCTTCAAAATTAAGTCTACAAAAGTCTCATGATGTGAGAGTATAGCCAGTAGATAATAATTAATATCTCTTCTTTTATTAAAGATGATGACAATATATGATCATGTTATTGAGAACTGTCACTTAAAATTTTATAGATTTAGTTTTGAGCCTTATAATGTTTTTGTAGATTTTTATTTAAGAAAAAAAAAAGGCAAATGGCTGAAAGTTTTCTTTGAATTAAAACTGGATTATAAGCAGGATGATGTGATGGTACCAATGCAGTATGTAATTCATGCCAGGAAATGCAAGAGGTCTTAATCAAATGTAAGGTCTATCAGTAACAATCATCTAAGGGGAGTTGATTTGTGGTGACCACAATATGTACTAGGTTCATCCTAACAGATACGAACGGAAGTTTCGTACTCTGTTTCACTGCAGAATGTCAAGAATTAGGACCCTCAAGTACTGACTGAGAGGGTGACCTCAAAGACACCATGAGAAGAATAAAGTCTTGACAGATATTGATGAGTATATCAACATAAAGAAGGAACACCTTAGGATATAGCATAAATTGTGGCATACAAGTCAACTTCAAGATTTTTAGCTCAAAATTCTGAGTTAGGTGTATACCTATCATATAAGTCAACCTCCAAACATATGGTAAGCTATCAGCATATCAGCAGTGTGATGTGATGGGTACTGTAGCGTTAATAGAATATTGAATTATTGTTATTCTGTGTTAATATGCCAAATATGTTCAAACACAACTTTTAGTAATAGTCTGTTGGAGATATGCACAGTAATTGTTAAAAGTGCTGTACCATTTGTTTACAAACTCTGGGTAAAGGTTTGAAATTTATACTTGTAAATCGACCCCTAGTTTTGGAAAGATTTTTTTCATGTCTCTGTGATGAGGTGTTATGATTATTTACATTATTTGGACTGTTATCCTCATCTTCATTGCCATATTCACAATGTTTCAGCCATTTTATGCTCTGACCTTCTTCAGGTGATTGGAATTTCAAACCAAACTCTTTATTTCATCCACTAGGGTAGATTGTTCTAGTTCCACATGCCATGCCTCTTCCAGATGTCTCCGTTATTTCCCTTTAACTCAACTCTCCAAGTTTTTTTGTTCATCACTGCTATAGCCTGGTATTGAACTCGCAACACTTTGAGTCTAGTCACTGGATCAAACCAACATCCTTATCCACTGGGCTGTGTTGTGAATATAGCAATGAAGATGAGGCTAACAGTCCGAATAATGTAGATTTTTATTAGGCTTGAAACTTGACATATACACTGCAATTCTCTGTGCATATAAGACACCTGAACATCAGGAAGTTACATAAACACCTGACTTACAAGCAGATAGGGATGGAGAGAGATTCTTTCACACACTTGCAAGAAGATAGAACGTTCAAAGAAAAACCTGAAACCACATACCTTTGATTTGACTAATGATTATTTGCTGGATTCCAAAAGTAAATAAATAATTATTTTACATATGAAAAATTTAGTCTCATTGTTATGAGATGTCATAAATATTACTCCCATCTCACAGCAGGATATAGAATAAATAGGAAATTTGAAAACGCAGTCCAATGATATGATTGCATAATAGCAATACCCAATATATCCCCATTGATCTTTTCAAATGCTATATTCAGAGTTTTTATTTGTCAAATAAGGACTTCTAAGCATTTGGCAGTGATGAAAATAGACGCAGGTATATTTTAAGCTTTTCTTTTTTAAAGGAGGGTGTGCTTCGCAACATACTTCCTTCAGGTGGGTGCGGTTATACAAGCAAAGTAATCCACATCTGGTACTGACAGCTTTTCATTATTTAGCCTGACAACATTGGCATTGTTATCTGCTTCCTTTCTTCATATTTATTTCATTTGACGGGTTTATTAGCATTTCATTATCAGCTGCCATGCTCTTTATCATTCAAGGCTTCATTTGATGTATTATGCACAAGCAATTGATCACCTGCATATTCAGCCATGTAGCATATCTTTTAAGAATGGATCTTCTTGCCTCCTCTATTGCATATTCACTGTCAGTATCACTCGTTTTCTGCATTTTATATATATATATATATATATATATATATATATAATGTGGGTAAAGTTGCACGAGAACCTGCCAATGTAGTAAATGTAAGACAGTTTTAAAAACTTTGAAGTGTGTTCCAAATTAACTATTATCATCATAAAATAAAATCCTTTTTTTTATGATACTGGGTCATTGGTGAAACATGTCAAAGTTGAAATTTAAAAAATTATATATATGAGATAAGAAATATATATTTTTATATATCAAGAACAGCATTGGGAAAATTGTATGATAAAGTAGAAAGTTTACCTGTCATGCATTTTGTTCTTTGTAAACTTTTTCCACTTTGTCATACAATTCTCTCTCTCTCTCTCTCACTATATATATATATATATATATATACATATATATTAAAAAGAAGAGAAGAGAGGTGCTGCAAACGTTTTTGGTTGTAATGTGGATTTATTTAGAAAAAATATTATGCTTTGTTTTACATAATATTACGACACGTGTTTCTGGTCTCGCGACCGTCTTCAGGTAAAAGTGGAGATTTCCACATATTATTAAAAATAATTAATTTTTCTTCATGTTCAATGTTAAATATTCTCGATATGAGACATTCTCTGTTTGTGTGTTGGTAATCCGAATTTCTTATGTGGAAATCTATAAAAAAAAAGAATGTTAAACATAAAATGTCTTTAATATATATATATATATATATATATATATATATATATTAAACTATTGTATCTTAAAGAAGGTTACAAACAGACAAATCTGGTACTCGAGTGAAAGGAACAGCAGCACAGGCATAGATGAAAGAAAGAGAGGTTTATTGTAAAAGAGAATACACTACTGAAAGACAGCGAATTAGTTAGCTGGCTAGTAATTTTGAAACAACTCCAACAGGTATATCTTGTGCTTACTATATATATATATATATATATATATATATATATATATATATATATATCTACTGATATAGTCAGTCCACATTTGCAATAAGGAGTGTGGGACATTCCATTACAACAATAACACACACACAAAAGTGAACATTGCAGTCAACACTCAGTGGTGACAGTCTGTTTCATGCTATAAAACAATCTTCAGGCCTAATATTGAGCACTTTAACTCATAAATATAGTATTCCTTAAAACTATATTTTTATCACCTACAGTAAAATTGCTTGATGCTGAGCTTACCTAGACAGGGCAAAAGATGCTTGACAACGTTAATTCCTATGAACAAGTTTTATTAAAGACAAATGACAAGGTACTGCTTTTAAGCTTTTTATTCAATTTAAAATCATTTCCTTTTCTGGACATAAAGTGTGTAAAAAAATGTTCAAATGTCCTAGATATCTCAGTGCTTTTGCCTGTTCTATTAGTCATTATCATATATATAATGTCTGTATAAGCCATAAAAGCAAATTGATCAAACCTTTTTAAGGCTAGTGTATTGAAATCAAAATCATTACTTGCTCATTTTGAAAATGATTTATTTTAGGAGGCTCATATATATAACACATTACTGAACATGGGTATTGCTTTTTACAAATAACAGAGCAATTGTTAGTTAACATATTTAGCATCAAGTGATGCTAATTAATTTTAGTTGTTAATGTTCCTTTATTTGTAATTTTTAACTTGTCTTTATTTTATCCTCTGTACACTGCTATGACTAATGTCTGCTTTCCAGTGATTTAATATAGTCTCTGGTGAATCCCTGTTGTAGCATTCCTATGGATAATAATGGGTATGTCCCCATTGACATAAATACAATAGTAAATACTGTATGTTGGTCTGCAGTTGGAGTTTTCTCTCCAGCTGTGCTGGTCAAACTCTCTGTCTCTGGGCAGAGAGGATCCTCAGACAAGGTTATGTTGAAGAGCAGTGTCTCATCTTGGGAAATGGCTACCTGACCCCATTTTATACAGAGTTTACTGAGAATTTTTGGCCGAACCTACAGGCTCGGATACTCCACATTAAATTTGGCCTTGTGCCACATCTGAGCACGTGGAGCAATTGGTAGATATCCTGCAGTTGGAGATTCATTGTGGAATTCACTTGACTCACTACTAGCAGTTGACTACTACTTCTACACACTGCTGGCAAATCTTATATGTGTTGTTCCTGTCCTAAGTATTATCATTCATTATCAACCTTTGTTTGATTATTCTATTCAGTAACCTTCCCTCGGTTACAACAATCCTCATTGTTGTATTCTTGGCTTGCCCACAGTTATATTAATATCTACATGTTGTTAATAAAGGTGCTAAAGAACTATACATTGAGCACTCCTAAAAACTTTTATTACCATTTATATGTTGTGTTTGAAGACTATTGTTAAATAAATCTGTTTGATATTGAAAAGGACTTCAAAATCTGTCTAAATTTCTGAGATGAGGTATTTGTACACTATTTACATTATTTGGACTATTGTCCTTATCTTTGTTGCCATATTTATTACAACGTTTTGACCGTTGTGCGCTCCGGCCTTCTTCAGGTGGTTGGAATGTCGAACTGAACCTTTTATTTCACTCACTGGAGTAGACTGTTCTAGTTCCATGCGCCATGTTTAATTGATGTCAGTTGTCAGTTATTGCCTGTTAATTCCCTTCTCCAAGTTCTCCACTGCCTTAACTGGACACATAGCACAGTGGATAAAGGCATTAGTTAGATCCTGTGACAGGACCCAAAGAGTGTGAGTTCAATACCCAGTTAAGTTATACTTTTGCATAGGGTAATTTTGAACTTTGATAAAAAAATGGATTCAACCATGAGTTTTTAATTTTCCTTACGCATACAACTAAAACAACTTTATGAGATATTACTTACCAAATATCAGGCAAAATGGCGAACATAAACTAGAGTTATAACAGAAAATAACATGTATCCAATATTTATGCGTGCCACTGTATATATATATATATTCCTATCTTTCTCTCTCTCCTCTATTCATCTGTATCTTTCTCTCTCTCTCTCTCTCTCTATATATATATATATATATATATATATATATATATATCTTTCTATCTATATCTATCTCTCTCTCTTTCTATCTATATATCTATCTATCTCTCTCTCTTTCTATCTATATATCTATCTATCTCTCTCTCTTTCTATCTATCTATCTCTCTCTCTTTCTATCTATATCTATCTATCTCTCTCTCTTTCTATCTATATATCTATCTCTCTCTCTTTCTATCTATATATCTATCTATCTCTCTCTCTTTCTATCTATATATCTATCTCTCTCTCTTTCTATCTATATATCTATCTCTCTCTCTTTCTATCTATATATCTATCTCTCTCTCTTTCTATCTATATATCTATCTATCTCTCTCTCTTTCTATCTATATATCTATCTATCTCTCTCTCTTTCTATCTATATATCTATCTATCTCTCTCTCTTTCTATCTATATATCTATCTCTCTTTCTATCTAACCATCTATATCTCTCTCTCTCTCTCTCTTTCTATCTAACCATCTATCTCTCTCTCTCTCTCTCTTTCTATCTAACCATCTATATCTCTCTCTCTCTCTCTCTCTTTCTATCTAACCATATATCTCTCTCTCTCTCTCTTTCTATCTAACCATCTATATCTCTCTCTCTCTCTCTTTCTATCTAACCATCTATATCTCTCTCTCTCTCTCTTTCTATCTAACCATCTATATCTCTCTCTCTCTCTCTCTCTTTCTATCTAACCATCTATATCTCTCTCTCTCTCTCTCTTTCTATCTAACCATCTATATCTCTCTCTCTCTCTCTCTTTCTATCTAACCATCTATATATCTATCTCTCTCTCTCTCTCTCTCTTTTCTCTGTCTATCTGGCTGATTTTAAATTTTAGGTTACCCTCTAAAAAATATTGGACACCATGCACTAATGGATGAAATAGTTTCAGCTTCTCAGCCTAGTAGGAGTTAATTAAACAAAAGAAGGCATGAAACTTACTAATTATTAAATCCCGGGGGGTATCTTCAAATCTTTGGCCTATAGTATACATACATCTAACTTGTTTTTATTGACCTCCACTCACACTCATGACCTTTTTTATTAGCTTTTACTGGAATTTCTCTGGCTGTCTAGTTTGCTACATAATGTCTAATTTATCAAACTACTCATCAGTCGTGCTATATTTTTGTCTATTCATCTAATTGCCTACTTTAGAATTTATTCATAATATACATTGATGATTACTTCTCCTATGTTGTTATCTACTTATCTAGGTCTCTTCATCTGCTTGTCTATCTCTCTATGCTCTTATCTATCAAACAGTGTATGAATCTACATTCCTCTTATGTTCTCAAAATATTTACTTTCCTTACTTGATTCACTTATCACTAAAGCAAACATCAATCTGATATGATGTTACATTGATCTTGTATATTCTGTTTATAACATTGAAACTGAATTGTGCAGTGTATATAACAGTTCATTTCAAGCAAGCTTATATATAAAGTTTAAAAGCCACCCTATTGGGTGGCATTTAAGCTAGCTCCTGCAGAGGGCTCTTGATTGAGCCTTCAGCTTCTTCATGAGTTTGAACTTTGAGAGTCCCTGTTTTTGCATATTCTCAGAACTGGAAACTCTCCTGGTTGCCATTTGATCTGAAGTTTCATTTGCATGGGTCTTTCTTTTCCTTGCTGCAGTCTTGGTTTTTTTGATTGCAATCTACTTCTCTGTTGGTGGAAATTTCTTTTTGCAAGGCATACTGCTGTCATATGCGATAGGCAGCAATAAACTACAGAAGAACTCAAAATTGATTGCTGCATTTAAGTATTGCATTAATATCTAAGTTTACCTTTTAAAAGTTGAATGATAATTCTTCTGCCGCCACTCAATTTAAAGACAATTTGATGTGCGTAGGTCCTTACTTTCCATACAAAAAATTATTTTTATTTCATGGGTGACTTTTGCTGGATTTTGCAATTAATTTTGATTATTCTCAAATTTACTTCCAATAAAAGTAATAAAAATTTGGGAATCTAAAATTTCGGTAACATGAGCTATTGAAAGTTAGATAGTTGTCTCCCTTTAATTGAAAAAGTGTGATTGTAACATTCACATTTATTATATGCACACATATACACACACACACACACACGTATATATATATGTTTATATTAGAAACCAAGTTAATGGCCTTTTAAGCTTTCTTCACATGAATTTCAGTAAAATTTTGAATATGTAAGAATTAAATACTACAGGTGGGGGGGGGTACCAGAATTAAAGAAATACTGAAGTTGGGCATGGACCTAAATCATTTGAGAACCACTGTTCTAAAGGCATAACTGGAGAAAGATAGAACCAATGATCCAAAGGTTTTCAAGCCATATATTTAATTAACAAAAATCTTTTTGGCATTAAACAATTGAGAGTTGATATGCTATTCAATTAATCAACAAAATTCTTGAACCTTAGCCACCATTGACCCTTTACTTTTAATCCTTTTTTATTTTATATTAAAATATTTAAGGGGGTAAAATCCTTAAATATTTTTAATTTTACTTTATTTTCCAAAAAATATCTTTTTCATAATTCTGCTTGTCCCTCCTGTTGTTAGTTATTTCATATGACCATTATGCTCAAACCATACCTCATAAATAATGGACTATTCCATTTCGACCTGAATGTGTGAAAACACAGAACTGGCATATCAAATGATACTTGGTTTCAATGAGAAAATGAAAGAAAGAAGGGTATATAGAAGTGCTTAATGTCTGTTTCAGTGAAACTGAAAAAAACTTGTCGATTTCAAATCTTTTCATTTGTACCCACTTCTTAAAATAATTGCCAGCATTGTTATTGTAATATTTTGTTAAAGTTGTTTAACTCAAATATTTAAGGATGCAATTGGGGAATTTCTATGAATATTTTATTGTCATAGAACTCACTATAAGTTTACTCAATCATTAAATTAAGAGTTAAAAATTAAGATTAATCAGAATATTAAAATAGGAAAACTGAAATTTTCATGGATCTTTCTAGTTAAACTTTTTAATTTTTTATTCATTATTATAGCTGCTCCTCCACCAATATATGTAGGTCAATGGGGAATTTCTTGCTTAAAACTAGTCATATGTCAGTCCTCACTGGGAGCCCTGTACTTTCAGCCTTGTGCTCTACTTAAAAAGAAAAATCGCCATATGTCAGAGTCAGTAAAAGTTACATAAAGAAACAGATGTGAAAGAGAGCCAGTGGGAATAGGAATTTCTTTTGTGAGGAAATTATAGAAAAATATCGACAAGAAAGAAAGTGTGAGCAAAATATATATAAAGTGTGGAATTTGAGAAAGTTTTTGAGATAAAGGAATAAGTGTAAATGTGAAAGTATAGAGAGAGTTGTGTATATTAAAAAGTGAGAAAAATGTATGTATTTCTATAAGCATGAAAGAGATTGTGTGAAAGATATGTGTATGCATAAAAAACATTGAAGACTAAGAAAAGGATGGAAGGAAGGGTGGTAGGAAGTGTAAGCATGTGTGTATGTGTACAGTTGATCTCTAATTGTAACAATTATTTATTGATCAACAACTAAACATCACAAATGCAGCTTAGACACTACTATTGCTGTGTTATAGTAGTTGTGGTGGTACTACTAGTTAAAACAAACTTCTTGGAATTACAAATGGCTCCTGCAGTATTGAGATTATTCTGCTAGTAAAGTATAAAGAAATAGAAGAAAAAAAATATTAGAAACAAAGAAAATAGTACTGAACTGTTGTGAAATATCAGTTCTCGCATATGGTGGTGAATGTTGGACAATCTCCTCACAGATGAAGTGACTTGAAGCAACAGAAATGTGGTTCTACAGAACAATACCAAGAATACCATGGACTGTATATTTGGGCAATGACAAAGTTTTAGAGAAAATGGAAAAAAAACTGACATTTATACTTAACATCAGAAAGAGAAAATTTAAATTTCTAGGGTAAATGAGGAAAGAAAGCTTGTAGAATTTGGTAGTCATAGTCAATAGAAGACCAGAGAGACAAAGAAAAACAATGCATAATGTACCTAGCGAGCTTGTGTAAATGGATGGCAGAACAAGGTTTAGGAAAGATAACAAAATAAAAACATTAAGAGCTACAAAGGACAGGAAATTGTGGAGAGCCATGTTTGCTTACATTCTGAAGAGACTGGGCATATAGAAGAAAAAGAATCTATGTTCTATTGTGGAATCTTAGTATTTGCATTAGATGCAAAGTTTGCTTAAAATTACCATTCAGAGAATATGACTATAATGGTATTCATGTATTGACTCTTATAGATTCACATGTGAATATATCCAAATATTTATACATTTACCCTATCAATAAGAACCAATATATATATCTATCTATCTATATATATATATATATATATATATATATATATATATATCTGATTCTTCTAGATACTGAAACATTGTGTATAACTTAGGCATTATTTAAGGTTCTTTTACTTTCCTATGCTTGTTTGCTTCAGGATGTTGATAACCATAGTTCTTCACAATTAGATTAAATAAAGTGTTTAAGATGACAAAGTGACTTGAAGCATTAGAGATATGGTTTTACAGAAGGATGATGAGAATAACATGGACCAAATGTGAACAGGGATTAAGTTTTAGAGAAAATGGAAACAAAAATCACACTTATACTTAACAGCTGGAAGAGATAGATGGAATTTCTGCGGAAAATAGTGAAGAAAGTTGACTTTGAAAATGTGATAATCACAGGGTAGATCGAAAAATAGGGGGATAGAGGAAAACAGTGCATGAATTACCTAATGAGTAAATGGATACCAGAGCAATGTTTAGGAGGGATAACAAAAAGACAATTTATTAAGAGCTACAAAGAACAGGAAATTGTGGAGAGCCATGATTGTCAATGTCCTGAAGGGACATGACACACAGAAAAAGAATGGAAACTGTGACTAATGAATTGAGAGGTTGGGTACAATGTAGAATGGCAGGAAAGACCAGTTGGAGAAGATATAATAGTGATGTCTGATTCTATCATAAATCTTCGTCTTTTTAACTTGACTGCATTTAATCTTCCTTTTACATTACCTACATAAATAAAAAATCATATGATATTACTCACTTTGCCCTTTCACTCTATTAAAATAGCTTTTATTTATATATGTATAATAAATCAATTCTGTAGAATACTTCATGTACAACTGCAGTGTATGTTATAAAATCAGAAGGGCTGCTGAAAAGTTTCCAACCTGACAGAGAAGTCCTTCCATATCAAAATCTGATGCCTGATCATTTGGTCAAATTTTAAGATATGGTTCAGGCTGTGAACTTTTCAACATCACCTTATATCCATACTCTTGTCCCATATATATATATATATATATATATATATATATATACATACACACATTATAAATTAACTGATTTAAAATGTTTTTTCGCTACACAATAATAACCATGTTTCAAAAATGGAAGCTAAAACTTTAAATTTAATTTTGTAATTAAATTAAAAACATTAGTTCCATTTCATCCTCAAGCGAATTTTAATTTAATGCTCTGTAAATTTACATTGAGCACTATTTTGTAAAAAATAAAAATATCAATGAGAACACCAGATTACATATCTTA